TAACAGCCAGCGTGGCAATCACAGAGAGGTCCTTCAGTAGAGGGAAAAAAACCTAGTACGTAGGTCTCACTCCATTTTTTGCACTACAATCTTCTCCATTAGAATTCCTTTAACAAATGTTACATTTCAAACGTCACATCATCAGTATTACAACTGGATTTACAGAACTTAAATACCGTAGCAAAGTACAGGTATCAGGCTAGTATAACTGTATAAATATGTACAATTTGATTATAATTGCTGCTGCATGTATTCAAATACTAGAAGCTTGGAAATTCTTGAAGGATTATAGCAAAGGTCAACTGTACAAAATTTGGCATTTGTCTCTCATAAATTGAAGTGGCCGCTTGACAGGACCTCTTGCAGTAGGTGAAAGTGGCTTACTGGAAGGAAATATGCAATTGCAGACAATTTATTAATTACTACAGTGGAAATCTGGGTTTGCTGAGTTTTGTCTTTGATTTACACAGCTCGATAATTGGATGAGTTTTGAACCATCAGATTGCGTCTCTTGGCTTCTTTAATTCATAAATTACTTGATTTCCAATTTGGAAATTGCTTTGAGGACTGGTTAGTGGGTTGACAGTGTGGGAGAATGTATTTTAAAATGTTTCTGTTCATGATGGCTAGACTAGCACCCTATTCTGGATGACTCTAGTCAGGCCTGATTCAGATATAGGCATGCAATTAATAAGTCCTAGGCATCTAATTAGCTTTCCTATATCAGATCTTTTAACTCCTGGCTGGAGGTACACCTCAGTAATATTTCCGTTTCATTAAGGACATAATACACAAGTAGTACCATTAAAGAATCTGTTTCCATTTTAAGCTTTTATTAAAACATCACTCACTCACCCTGACCTGGATGACTCCAGTTAGTCCAATCTTGTCAGATATTCAAGTACTTGAAAGGCAGTCATATAGAGGATGGCGTGGAGTTGTTTTCTGTTACCCCAGAAGGTCGGCCCAGAACCAACGGGTTGAAATTAAATCAAAAGAGTTTTTGACTAAATATTAGGAAGAACTTCCGCAGTGGAACAGGCTTCCTCCGGAGGTGGTGGGCTCTCCTTCTTTGGAGGTTTTCAAACAGAGGCTAGATGGCCATCTGACAGCAATGCTGATTTTGTGAACTTAGGCAAGTTATGAGAGGGAGGGCAGGAAAGGTTGCATCAGTGCTTAGTTCTTGTGGCCCTTTCTTATGTGCTCAGGGAAATGCTGATCGCCACTTTGGGGTCAGGAGGCAATTTTTCTCCAGGCCAGTTTGGCCAGGGATTCTGGAGGGTTTGGGGTTTTTTGGCCATCTTCTGGGCGTGGAGCAGGGTTTGTGGGGGGGAGGTATTTGTGAATTCCCTGCACTGTGCATGGGGTTGTACTAGATGACCCCGGAGGTCCCTTCCAACTCTTTGATTCTGTTATTTTAAGCTGAGCAAGGTCGGCCATGGATAATACTTGGATGGGAGAGCACCAAGGAATTCCAGGGTCACAAGGCAATGCAACCCACCTCTGAATGTCTGTTGCCTTGAAAACCCTAGAGGATCGCCATAGATCAGTTGTGAATTCACGGCACTTTACACACACATTAAAAAACCCCAATTTATTTCATTCTTAACATTGACTGAATCAACAGAAGCTGAGCGGTAGTTTTCTGGGGTAGACGATCCCAGGGGGGTGGAAGGAAGGAAAGGTGAAGACGGAACAGGTAAAGGTAACTTATCTGGTGGGCCTCAAAGAGAGCAGAATGCAGGGAAAAGGAGGATGCTACAGGGGCTTTCAGGAAAGGGAATTTTTTAGGAAATACTGTGGGGAAATGAGATGTCCTGCTTAAGTCTGTGTGGGTCCCTAATTTGTATATATAGTATGTTCATCAATACATTTTTTTTAGATTCTTTGTGGGTGGTATTTGCAGCTATGCTAACAAATCCACCGTTTGAAATGCTGCTTTTGAATAATCTGTCATTTCTTTTTTATGGAAAAAATGGTAACAATCTGATTCATGTGACATTGAAACATAGTAAGAGAACATGCAGCCCAATTCCAGGCATATTTACTCTGTCCAGTGAGGCATACTTCCAGGAAATATGCATAATGATTGTACCCAGAGTTACTTACTTGCAACTTTTCAGCACGATCCAATTAAAATAAAACTCTTTAAGATTATTGTTGAGCCTTCGGGGAGGCCGGGATATAAATCCAAAAATAAATAAATAAATTA